TCCCAGGCTGGAGTGTAGTCCCAGCTCACTGCAGCCTCGAGCTCCTGGCCTCAGGTGATCCTCCCACCTCAGCCTTCCAAACTGCTGGGACCACAAGAGCAAGCCAGGTTGACCACGCCCGGCCACTCACCACCCCCATCACATGAATCAAGCTATAACTGCGCCTGACGGCAGATCAATGTGGAAATGTTTCTAGCCAGGCCACTCCCAAGATGAATGAGGCTAGGATGATGGAGGAGCTGGGCCCTGCTGATGACGCCCTCCTGGCAAGATCTCTGGTTCAGCTGACCCAGAAGAGACAGGATAATCAGAGAGTCTGCGGCACCAAAGCCCATCACACTCTGCTTTGCTTCATCCTCTCCACCATTTTTTTCTAATCTCCTCACTTCCTGCCATGTGCCAGGCTAGAGCTGGGAAGGCAGCTGCCAATGGCCTCCAGTCCGTCCTCTCCCTTAATCTTACACATACACACACCCCTGTGTGTCTGCCACACACTCTAAGAACCCCCAGAAACACAGCCTTGGAAGATTGAAGCAAGATGCTGAGCAGTCCAGTAATTTCACAGCAAGTCAAGAGACCATAGAAAGGCTCTGTCTTTGCAAGATGCTCTCCCAAAGGAACCAGGGATGGAGAGCCTGGGGTCACTCCGCTAACTGCTTCCTTCCAAAACAGGGACACCTGCGTCCGGCATCTACACAGAAGTTAATTGTTTCATTTTAGACAAAGGAGGATTGCACTTACTCATTCTTCTCCAGGTCCAGGGTCAGTTCTCGCCCCTCAGCCTTTACCCTGAGCTCAGCTTTGAGTGGATGCTAAAAGCAACAACAAAAGAGAGTCAGTTCCTAAAAGCAGAAGCCAAGGCTCCCAGGGTCGGGCACAGGACCCAGTACAGTGCTCGACACGGATCCACAGGAAGCAAACGGGCAAAGGTCAATTGCATTTCCAGCCCGAACGTGAAATGACCTCGATCCCAGAATGACCCAAATCCTTCCCCCATCTGCTTTCTCCTGAAGGGCAGAGGAAAGAAACTCCGAGCTCAAACGTGGTGTCAGTGTATCGGACATGTGGTCTGGTGAAGGAAAACACTGGAAAATATATCCTCAAACAATAAATTTTGGCTGGACATGGTGGCTCACACCTATGATCCCAACACTTTGGGAGGCGGAGATAGGAGGATTGCTTAAGGCCAGGAGTTCAAGAACAGCCTGGGCGACATAGTGAGACCTCACCTCTATAAAAAATTAAAAAATTTAAAACATTAGTTGGGCATGGTGACCCATGACTGTAGTCCCAGCTACTCAGAAGGCTGAGATGGGAGGACTGTTTGATCCCAGGAGCTGGAGGCTGTAGTGAGTCAAGATCATGGAACTGCACTCCAGTCTGGGTGACAGAGTGAGACCCTGTCTCAAAAAAACAAACAAACAAAAAAAAAGTAAAAAATTAAATTTCATGTGGACAGCCTGGGCAGCATGGCAAGACCCCATTTCTACAAAAAAGAATTTTTAAAAACTGGCCAGGCATAATGGCATGTGCCTGTAGTTCCAACTACTTAGGAGGCTGAGGCAGGAGGATTATTTGATCCCAGGAGTTCCAGATTGTAGTGCACAATAATTGCTAGATCACACGCCAGCCTAATTATTGTAAAAAATGTCAAAGAAAAAAAATTTTTTAAAGGCATAATAAACCTCCAAGCTTCAATATTTCAACTTAGGGCTGTTGAGCTTTTCTTTAAATGGATAAATTATTTATTTAAAACAAAATAGTTGCATATTTAAAACAGACTAGATTCTTTGCAGGTGTTTTAAAAATGAGTTTGAGCCCAGATCATTGGAGGCTGCAGTCAGCTATGATCACATCACATTACTGCACTCCAGCCTGGGCGACAGAGTCAGACCTTGTCTCTAAAAATAAAAAAAGAAAGTCCTCACTAGAGTGGAGCTTCTACCCTGTTTTAAGGCTGACCTTAAAGTTTAGTTCTGGCATGTCTGAGAAAGTGGGTCACCTGTCCTGCCACCTGTGGTTGGGAGCCTGCCTCTTTTAAGCACATTTTCCTTACTTGCTGCAAACCCTACCCCCCCATAAAGGTCTGGGCATTACTGGGACTTCTGAGTCGCCAAGGGCTCTGATGAGATCTGAACGTTCCGATCAAGGACTCTTGGGCAACCCTGCCTATTGCCTAATTAATCCTATTACCTCATTTTCAGAAGGGCCATTTCAAACCACGGGAGTAGGAAGCTGGCAGAGATGTTTGCCCAATAACTTTCACTAAGAGATTCACTTCTCTGTTTTTGATGCCCTGATTCAGCTCTGCCAATACCAATAGGTATTCCAGCTGTTGAGCCAGTGCCACTTTACTCGGGAACTCTGGAGCACATGCCCTGCCCGTCACACTGAGCATCAAGGACATGGCCCCAAGTGGGCATCTAAGAAAGAGCACACAGGCCAGGCGCAGTGGCTCACACCTGTAATCCTAGCACTTCGGGAGGCCGGAGCCGGTAAATCGCTTGAGCCCAGGAGTTGAAGACCAGCCTGGGAAAAATAGCGAGACCTCATCTCTACAGAAATATTAAAAAATTAGCCCAGCATGGTGGCACGTGCCTGTAGTCCCAGTTACTTGGGAGGCTTGGGTGGGAGGATAGCTTGAGCCTGGGAGTTTGAGGCTGCAGTGAGCTGTGATTATGCCTCTGCTCTCCAGCCTGGTCAACACAGTGAGACTACAACTCAAAAAAAAAAAAAAGAAAAGAAAAGAAAAGAAAGAAAGAGCACACATAGCAACAAAGTTGGATCAATTCCCTTATCCAAGAGGTAGGCGACCACATGACACAAAAAAGGAACACTGACATACACCAAAGCACAATCACCTCTCCCCAAAAAGACACAACCTGCAACATGACTCCTAATATTTATTTTTATTTGGGTAATACAAAAATAATTCTCTGTTCTGGAAGGTGTTCAGACACTGATATTTAAAATATGATGTTCCCTGTTTCCATGGGGCATTTCAAGCAAAACAATGAAACTGCATTTTAGGGACCCATGAAGCTTTCCCGTAGAGCTCTACAGATCCACTTTTCTCATGTAACTCCATTCTGTGCTAGGAAGAGGGACTACCACTTCTCTGAGGAAGGTAGGAAGCTGACCTACTATTTATACTTCCCCTAGAAAAGGGCTCAAAGTCCTTTCTTCTTAGGGTTAGATGACACAGCTCTCCAAGGCACAGTGGTACACGCCTGTATCCCAGCACTTTGGGAGGCTGAAGCAGTAGAATTGTTTGAGCCCAGGAGTTTGAAATCAGCCTGGGCAATAAAGGGAGACCTCATTTCTATAAAAAAAAAATGAACAAATCAGCCAGGCATGGTGGTGCGTGCCTGTAGTCACAGCTACCTGGGAGACTGAGGCAAAAGGACTGCCTGAGCCCAGAAGGTCAAGGCTGTGGTGAGCTGTGATTGTGTCACTGCCCTCTAACCTGGATGACAAAGTGAGACCCTGACTGAGAAAAAAGAAGCAGCTCTCCAGATCCATAGGGTATTGAAAACAAGCCGATCCTATACATTTGTATCCCCCTTGAGATCTACTATAATAGTATACAGTAAGTGTTCCATTAATGTTGAATGAATGAATGTCATAAACTAGAATTAGAGGCCTCAGTGAAACCCAGCTCCTGCGCTCTCTCTCTCTGACACTTATTCATTTGTTCCCTCAACAAATATTTATGGTGGTAGGCACTGTGATGACTATTCCTACAGAATACAATGCCCCATGTTCTGGGCAGACAATGGCTGGGAACAAAGACAGGATCCCATGCGCCACTGCATTTCTCAGGCTCTTCCTGAGGTGGCCAACATCCACATCTGGAGGGAACAAAGATGCCTCTATAAAAAGCATCAGATCCATTTCTCAGGCAGTCACAGACAGGTCGCAACATCCAAGATCTTAATTTTTAAAAATACTTGGCCCCAGGATGGCCATCCATTAATTTGTCTAGACTTTTCCTGAAGCTATTTTCAGCCTCTACTCCTTTTTTATGAAATGAGTTCTGTGCATGTACCTTTAGGATAAAATGTCACTTGCTTTTATTTGTCACTGTACATTCCCTTGGTAAATCCAAGTTGGAGCCTTTGGGGACGTGTCTGTTATTGCTCCAGCCATAACGTCAAGGATGTGGGGCATTTTTCCTCTCCATTTACCTTTCTGGACTCAAGAGCCACAATGTGTGAAGTCTTCCCAACACATCTCTTTCCAACTGTAATCTGGCTCCTATGTATTGCTCAATAAATCACAAACTGTTTGAACCCAAAGAGTTAGTAGAAACCAACTCCTCTTATTCGCTCTTCCTCTAATTCTCTCGAAGCCCTATTTTATAAATGAGGAAATTCGAGTTTTTTACAAAGCGGAAGTTCACATAGCTCGTAAGTGGCACACAAGAAATACATCTTCCTTTCTAGCTCTTATATCTCACTCGAGCTGTAAAAGTTAGAACCACGAAGAATATCCTAGATGCACAAGTCCTCTCTGCAGGAATAGGGTCATGTTTCCTGTCTTGATTCCAGTCCCTTTGATAGATACATTCCCCAGTACTGGGTCCCTACCAGCCTCTTACTAAGCATAGTTTAGAGTATCCTTTTTCCCTCCAAATACACTATCCTATCAATAAAAAGAAGCATGTGTTTTGCAGAGCAAAAATAACAGTGGCAATATTTAATGAATTCCAATGGAGAGTAGGTGATTTCTGCGAGACTGTCCCATTTACACTCAGCTTGTGTCAGCATTAATGGGAATTTTCATTTCCTCAACTAACAGCATTTGGAAATGTTCTAGAAGTTTGTCCTAAATGAAGGAAAGTCCCGCCTGGCATATCCAAAACTGGCACACAGAGAGGACAGAATGGGCCGGAAATAGAACCCATGGTGATGACTAGGCTTCCGAGAAAGCTGAGTAGGTGGCCCCAGGCCGCCAGTGGTCACCTCCTGCCAAGGAACACGAGAGGTTTTGAGTCTTACCTTTTCTCTCACAGGGCTTTCCAAAGTCTTCCACTGAGGTATAATGAGTTCATGCTGTAGCGGGAGGCTGCCTTTCCCACGTCCTCCTGTCAATACAAAATGTACAGCCATTGGAATCCCAGACCTCTAGACTCTAGCTAAGCCACACACACCCTTTCTGCGATGACTGCCCCTGTGCTGGGCCATTAGAAGCCCTGCTGGATCCCAGGCTCTTGGCACTTACTATGGGTCAGCTACTGTTCTTAGATGTTGGCGAATGAGTGAACAGGACAAACAAGGTCTCTGAATTCACAAACTTTACCTTAAGGTTAGAGTTAGGGTTGGGGTTAGGTTTGGGGGTTAACGTTAGGGTTGGGGGTTATAGTGGAAGGTTAGGGTTAGGGTCAGGGGTTTTGCATTAGGATTGAGAGTTATGGGTTAGAATTAGGTGGGAAACAGATAAAGAACAAACATACTCTGAAGGTGTAAGTACCCTGAAGAAATAAGTTAGGGTCATGGTATAAAGAGACACCTAACAGGAGTGAGTATTTTAGACAGGGTGATCAGCAGGTTGGCATTTCATAGAGTCCTGCGGGGTCAGAAGAAGGCAGCCACGCGGGGAAGAGTGCCTCTGGTAGAGGAAACAGCAAGTGAATGGTCCTGCCTGGTTGAAGTGTACCTGGTGTGTGTAAGGAACAAGCAAAAGGTTAAGGTTCTAGAATTGAGTCATAAGAGAGGAAGTTGTAAGAGACAGCTATGGGACTAATAATTCAGAGGCCATGGAAAGCGTCTGGATTTTCTCATAAATAGACTTGGAAGGCATTGGATGTTTCAATCACAGAGCAATCTGATCTGTGTCAGGTTTTAAAAAGATCCTTCAGCCTGCCTGGTGGAGAAAGGGCTATGGGGGAGAATGCGAGGAAAGCTGGAGACTGTGTGAGTCCTAGAGAGAGACGACAGTGCTCACACTGGAACTGGTTTCAGCGCCGAGGAATGAGGTGGTGGGATTCTGGGCATATTCTGGAGTTCAGGCCCATGGGTATTGTTCCCAGGGAGCTTTGGTTTTCTCATCTGTAAATAGAAGCCGACAATTCCCACCTCCCCAGCTCACAGTTTCACTGGGGAGAGTCAATGTGAAATTGCCTTTTAACCCACAGAGCATCGTTATGTTAACTTGAACTTCCTAACAGCAAGTTTGCAGGAGAGTACCTAATCACTCTTGCCACTCAGTTCTCCTCCACCCTCACGAGGACCCTGGGAAGTAGGTAGGAGAGGGAATTGAAACTGCAGGAGAGACTTGTTCAAAGCAGTGCAGAAGTCAACTGGTTACAGACCAGCTCAATAAAGAGATGATTTTCCAAGACCTAAATAAATTAGCCTCCACAAGCACAGGACAAATCCCATAGGCCCCCTGCAGAGGGTGGAGGACACCAAAATCTATTTTGTCTCAACTGTCACACTGATCACACAGAATATAAGTAATTAAAAAGATGACCATAGTTGCTCTGTGAGAGTGGTGAGTTTATGGGTGCTTATTCAATTTTCTTTCAGATTACTTGCAGTCAAAATACATCTAAAAAAATAATGTCATTGAACTAGCACCAATTTTCATCAGACTGGTAAAAATCAGAAGTAATGCATTTATGTATTTATCAAACACTTTCTGAGTACTGGACTATGCTATGTGCTTAATATTCATGGGGAAACAAAATAGACAGTCCCTATCCTGATGGCCCTGATAAGTCTAGATTTTTTTTTTTTTTTTTGGCATCAGGGCCTCACTCTGTTGCCTAGGCACGATCATGGCTCACCTCAGCCTCAAACTCCAGGGCTGAAATGATCTACCTTTCTTAGCCTCCCAAGTGGCTGGGACTACAGGCGTGCGCTACCACGCCTAGCTAATATTTTTATTTTTTATTTTTTGTAGAGACAAGGTCTCACTATGCTGCCTAGGCTAGCCTCAAACTCCTAAGCTCAAGCAATCCTCCCGTCTTGGCCTCCCAAAGTGGTGGGATTATAGCCATGAGAGACAGTGCCCAGCTGAGTCTAGATTCTTTTAAACAAAAAGGAGTTATATGGTATCTAATAGAATATTTAAAGGAATCAAATGATATTTATAATTGCAAAAAATACTGGAAGCAATCTATAGCCTTACCAATAGAGAAACAGTGCAGCTTAAGAAAAACTGTTCCAAACTTTGAGATGTCTTTCCAAAGTGATACTGAGGCACCAACAGGCCCTTCCATGGAGTATTGAATTATCTAGGGGAATGTACTATTGACTTTTTATTTACTGTTGATTAAAGGCCTGTCCTCTATGAAGTTGTGTGTTACGTATAGATTTCTGTCTAATGCAAATGTTTTCAGCACAGTAGAAAATCAAGAATTTTGGTTGTTTTTTTTGTGGGGTATTCACCCCTTTTGTATCTGTCCCCGCCACAAGATTTTCACATTTTTTTCTCCAGTACCCATGCCACCCCTTCCATCCAGGTCTCCTCTAAACCATTTTCACCAGCCTGCTTGGTGGAGATGAATAAATCTCCACATTTATATGAGAGTCACGTCCTTAACTTTTTGAAAATTATACTTCTCCCGATAGAGGTATAATTTTCGATCTCCTGATAGAATTTATAGAGTCATTAAAAATCATGTTTTTGGAGAATTTAACGATGTGGGAAGTACTCATAGTGTGAAGTGGAAAATGCAAGACCCAAAACTGTACTTATGGTATGGCTCCAGTTTTACCAATATATACTTACAGGTACACACAAAGACTGGAGAAAAAAACAGAACATCAATAGCAACTGTGGACCCGGGAGTTGTGGATTATTTCATTTCTTTTGCACTTTTCATTATTTACCAGATATTCTAAGCGACTCTACCTCCCTGAGTGGTATCCGAGGAGACCTGCGACGGGAGTAATAACTTGCGTTCCTTGCCTCCCTTCAAGCTATTCTTCTGCACTAATCATTGGCTCAGACCTCGTGCTAAGCTCCAATCTCCTGTGCCTCAGTTTCCCTTTCGGTATAAAAAGCTCAAAGTGGTGGGGGGTTGCTCACTAGGGCGCGGAAGGGCCGCAGAACTGCGTCCCTGGAAGCTCCGCGTTGTCTGGGAGGTCAGGGTATAGTTTGGGAGGTCAGGGCGAGCACAACCTCCGGCTGGTGACGCTGGAGCGGGGGGGAAAGGGGGGTCCAGCCAGCCCAGTCCTCGCCCCGCCCTCGTCCCGCCAGCGCTCGCTTCTTTTGAAAACGCTGTTGGTCCCGCAGACAGCGAGCGATCCGGAGTCACCCTAGTCCGTCTGCGGCGGCGGAGCCAGGGCTAACTTTCCCGGGTCATCAAGACATACCCGGGCACCGCCCCCTCGGGACCATTCCTTCCGCTAAATCTGCGGAGATCCCCCGAGGGATGGGGCCGGGGAGGAGACGGTGTCTGGGAAACTAGTTGTGAGAAACATAGACATTACCCAGCATCCAAGCTGGAAGCATCGAGTCCGAGCCCTCTCGAAGGGGAAACTGAGGCCCAGAGCGGTGGGGCCGTCGGGTGGGGGTGGAAAGAGAGCTCCAGTTTCCAGTGCCAGCGCGGACCTCAATCCGCGAAATGGCCATGGGCGGGTCCTTTCCCTTTTGCGGGCCTCAGTTTCCTCATCTATAAAATGGGTGCGCTGAACTTGATTTTCAAGAGGGATCCCTCCAGCTCAAGGGTCCGAAGTGCGCGACCGGAGAGGCCCGGCGAGCCCCCTACCACCACCCCCACCACCACGGCTACCCGTCCTCGGGGGCATTACCCTACCCCACAGGCGTGGCCGACACCGAGCAGGGGCGCAGGAAGCCGCTCCCGGCCGCAAGGGCAGGGCGCGGGGATGCTCGCAGCCGGCGGGTGCAGCGGGCGGAGAGGCAGAGAGGAGGGGAGAGAGCGGAGCAGACATAAGGGACCGTGAGAAAACGCAGGAGAGGTCGTAAAGCAGCGGAAAGAGACGCCCAAAGCAGAAAAACAGAGGAAGGAGAAGCGAGGCAAAGGCAAGCCCGAGGGAGGACCGGCTGTTTTTCCGCCTGCGCGGGGTCTCCCCCATCTCCCCCACCTCCCCGAGCGCACAGCGTGGGACAAAGCCCGGGCTCCCGGGTCGGGCGGCGGCGGGCGCGCGGCGATCGCGGAGGTGCGCGGGGGCGC